GCCCCGCCCCCCCCCCCCCTCCCCCCTGCGAAGTAAACGGCGCGCATGTAACTCGCCGCAGCGGTGGGGGGAAAAGGGTGAGGGGTCCTGAATGGGAGGCGGATCAATAATTAGTCGGTCGATGGGGTCACATGCGTGAGAGCAGGTGGCTCTATGGCCATTCCGTTAAGCTCGAGCTTGCTTGTAACCTTCCCATCTCAGACAATCCAAGGTTCGCGCCGTTCCTCCTCTCCATGCGAGATCGATGAAATTGGGAGAGCTCGTCACTTACGACGTTTTTGTGTTGTTGTTATTGCTGGTTCGTTGAGTTTATGGAAGCGCTCTGGAGCTTCCCATGTCTCTTTTGCTCCTTTTCAGCCCGCATGCCTTGCGTCTACTGGCGCGCTGGCCTTGGGGGGCCTCTACAGGTTCAGCGTCGACTAGGATGGAACTGCTGTCTGATTGATTCATTGGCCCTGCCCTGGCACTGACGCATCACCGCGCGCTCCGGTTCGGTCTCGGGCCCTGGGCCTCGCCGCACTTCGCCGCTCTGGCGCCGGGCCGCAGAGCCCAGCGCCTCCATGAAAACAACGCGCGGGGCACTCGCCCAGCATCTCTGGTGACTCCTCGCTCGGCGTCGCCGTCCGCGGCCGCTCTCGCGCAGGTCGCCGGGGTCCCCTGGTTTCGCAAGCATCCGCTGCCTCGCGCATCTTTGAAGGGGCCCAGGGACACACAAGAAAATACACACGAATAACCCGATTCGCTCTGCCTAGAAGGGTTCGTACTCTCTGGGCTTAAAGGGGCCGGGCAGTGAAAAAGCGCCCCGGGCGGTTTCCCCAGTATCCGCCCCGCGGTTCCCCCAGTTGCGCCCCCTGGGTTCACCCAGTTTAGCTTAGCTAAGCTTAGCTTAACTTACCTTAGCTTATCTCATCTTGCCTTAGCTTAGCTTAGCTTAGCTGTGCCTAGCCTAGCCTAGCCTAGCCTAGCTTAGCTTAGCTTAGCTTATATCAGCTTAGCTTCGCTTAACTTAGCTTAGCTTAGCTACGCTTGGCTTGGCTTAGCTTAGCTTAGCTTAGCCTAGCCTGGCTTAGCTTAGTTTAGCTTAGCTTCGCATAGCTTAGCTGACCTTAGCTTCGCTTAGCGCAGCGCAGCATAGCGCAGCGCAACATTAGGACAGCATATCATAGCATAGCATCGCCAATCATAGCATAGCATAGTTCAGCATAGGATAGCATAGCGCAGCATCACATAGCATGGCACAGCATAGCAGTGCTTAGCATAGCACAGCGTAGCATAGCGAAGCACAGCATAGCCTAGCATAGCATCGCGCAGCATAGCATAGCATAACATAGCACAGCATAGCATAGCAAGGCAAACACAAAGGCAAGAGTACAAGCAAATGCAATGCAACGCAAAAGCAAAACCAATGCGAAAGTGTAGGTGTAGATGTATATGTAGGTGTAGGTGTAGATGTGGATGTAGGTGTGGATGTAGATGTAGGTATATATGTAGGTGTAGATGTAAATGTGAGTCTCGCTGTTGATGTTGATGTTGATGTAGATGCAGGTGTAGATGTAAATGTAGCTGTCGGTGTAGATGTAGATGCTGCTTTCCGAAATGCTCCAACTCCTAGGTAGGGTCGCACTGGGATAATTTTCTATATTTTCTGGGTTTCTGTCTTCCGCCCAACTTCCCATAGTTTCGCATACTTTCCTGAACATCGACGATTAATTGTGTCTGTGTGTTTTGTCCCCTCTTGAATCTCAGCCGACTCCGTCACAGGACCCAATCCCTGGTCGAGGGGCGCCGCAACTTGCCGCTTCTCCAAAGTCTCCCTCGTCCATCTCTGGGTTCGCGTCTGGCGCCCCATCGGACATGCGCCCTTCGTTCGGGCACTCGACACTGGCAGCAGCGATGGCTATCATTAGGGGAACAAGCCGGGGCATAAACATAAAAACTCGGAGGTCCGCGCGGATTTCTCGGATCGGCGCTGGGGCCCCGCGGCGGCGTCTCCGGCGCCGCCCCTGGCGCGCTCCGCGCGCCAGGGAGGGGGGTCCAGCGCCGATCCGAGGAATCCACGCGGACCTCCGAGTTGTTATGTTTCTGCCATTTCTTGTTCCCCTAATCGTGGCGCGAACGCGGGAGGGTTCGAGCTCGGCCCTCTCGCCGTCCACCCCGACCTGCGTGGCGTGGACCCCGCCGGCCTGCAGGGCGCCCCCGAGCAGTGCTGCGCGCGATGGAACAAGCCGGGAGGCCGCGCCAGCCGCCATCGGGCCCCTCAGCCCTTGGGCGCTCCGACAGGGACGGCGCCGCAGCCTGATGGGCCTGTTTCCCACCACCTCCACCACCACCACCACCACCACCACCATCATAAGTTGGAGGGGGAGGGGGTCCTCCTCTTCCTACACCTCCACCTCCTCCTCCTCCTCCTCCTCCTCCTCCTCCCTCCTCCTCCGCCTCCTCCTCCTCCTCCTCCTCCTCCTCTCCGTCCTCCTCCTCCTCCTCCTCCTCTCCGTCCTCCTCCTCGTCCTCCTCCTCTTTCCCCCCTCCAACTCATGGTGGTGGTGGTGGAAAACGGGCCCATCAGCAGCCTGGGGCTCCGCGCGCAGTCCTGACGTCCGTCTCCGCGCGGGGCTCCCCCCCCCCCCAGGCGGGGGAGGCCCTCCGCTTCCCGAGGAAGATCGACGTGAGACGTGTTGCCCCTGGCCTTGCTCTCCACCGCCGTCGCCGCTGCCCCAAATGTGTCTGATTCCGATCCCAGTCGTCTGATGCCACGTCCAGTAGGTGACTCCTCGTTTCAGTTCCAAGGTCGGCCCTGGCATGCTCGGTGCCATCTTCAGGCTTTGTGTCGGTCGCCGATCGAGGCCCCTCGCGATGGCAGCGCGTGCGCATTTGGACGTCGGACAAGGCTTGAGCCTCATGGCCGCGTGCCAAGCATGTCATGTCCAGCGGCGCAATCACTTCGCGCGCCGATCTGATCCGATCTTCGTGGCAAATCCCGCTGCCTTCCTCCAATCTGGCGGCGCGATCGATGGCAATTGTCTTCCCTCGGCAAATGTGCTGAACCACCGCCGGCGCTCGCCTCTCCCCGCGCCCGCCCTCTTCCGCCCTCCCCAGTCGCGACGCAATCGCGCCGCGATCTTTAAGTGCGTTGTCATCCTCCTCCGGTCCCCCACCCAGTCCTTGTCGCTAGACTGTCAGCTGGCACTGCGCCAAGCCTTTGAATCCGTGGAGGTCCATCACTTGTGCTCCTCGCCCCCTGGCGCGAACGTCGCCGTATCAGAACTCCGAGAACCGTGCCGGCGGTGCCTTTCCTATGCTGGCCGGCTTACGGTGGGGGCATTGGGTAAGGAACCCTTGGATGAGGCATCCAGGGCCTGGAAGCTGGTGGAACACCGACTGGGGCTTGACCATGGAAATCACCGCCGCCCATACCAGGTGAGGAATCCTCCAGGGTCTGGAGCCTCCTGGGCACACTCCCTAACCAACGTCCCCACCGTAATGGAGGATGACGATTAATAAATGACCGGGGGTCGTGTTCACGCGGCGGCGCCTGGGATGACGAATAGAAAAAAACGGCCGCAGGCTGGAAAACTATTTGTTTTATTCGTTCTCCTCCAGTCAGAAAATGATGCAGAGACAACAGAAAACTATGTTTTAATCGTCCTCTCCCACTTTTTTATTTATCGTCATCCCGCATTAACCAACGCCCCCACCGTACTGCTCCCAGATCGGCTTCGGCCCGGGGGGCACACTGCGCAACAGCGCCCCCACAAGCCCACGCGAGCACCCTCGGCAGGCCGTGGCTCTCGCCCTCCCTCGAGGCGACAGCCCGCTACGCCGGGGCCCAGGGGCACTCGGGGGAAAGAGGCACTGCTGCCCGGATCCCCATGTGCTTGTCCATACTGTCCTCGCGACACGTGAAAGCGAAACTATCAACTTTTTTTCTGAGCGGTTCGCTTTCGATGTCGCTTTCTCAGCTGTTCACTTCCTCGGGGGAGTTTCGCTTTCGCTTTCGCTTTCCTAACAGTTAACTGTTATTGTCTGTGCTTCGCTTAGTCATTCCTGCCGTCGCCTGAACTTCTTGCGGCCGTGCTGCATGCTCGCCTTCCCCCCACTTCCCATGTGTGCCAATCCTGTCCTGGGCATCGACGATCACTTGCGTCTGGGTGTTGCTTCCCATCCTGACGTGAACGCTGATCCCCGTCACAGCAGGTTTGTGTTGTGACGGCTGCCGCCTTGGCCTCCGACACCGCACCGATCGTCGCTCAGCCTGGCTCGCCCGCGCCAGGGTCGCCGCCGCATGGGCACGGCACGAGCGTGCCGCGAGTGCGCCCGGAACGGCTCGAGACCGCCCCAGACCCCAGAGATCAGGCATCTTTCGAAGCGTCGACCCCCAGAGGTCTGGACTTCGGTCGGGCATGTCCCCCCTACGGGCGGACTCCGGAAGGGCGCAGCAGCGGCCAAAGCCCCTCTGTCGAGATCCGTGTTGGTGGGCTTGTTTTGCACCGCCACCACCACAAGTAGGAGGGAGAGTGGGTCCTCTTCTTCCTCCTCCTCCTCCTCCTCCTCCTCCTCCTCCTTGTCTTTCTCCTCCTCATCATCATCCACCGGTCCTCTTCCTCCTCCTCCTCCTCTTCCTCCTCCTCTTCCTTCTCCTCATCCTCCTCTTTCTCCTCCTCATCATCATCCACCTCCTCCTCCTTCCCCCCTCCAACTTATGGTGGTGGTGGCGGAAAACAGGCCCATCATGTGACACGACGCGAGCACGTCTGGGCACCAAGCGCCCCGATCGGCTGGAGACCCGGCCCGCCCTCCTCGCCGGATCGGATCGGCGGAAATCGGCAGCCGAGCCGGGAAAGGTCGAATCAGCGGAGATCGGCAAGCTAGCAGGCCTCCGTTGGGAAATCGGAGCCCGAGCCGGAGTCCACGATGGAATCGAATCGGAGTCGGAAGCCCGCGAGATCGAATCGAATCGAATCGGAGGAATCGGAGTGGGCTCTGGGAGACCAGGGCCCGCCCTCCTCGCCGCAGGTGATCTTGTCGCACACGGGCGGGTTCGCGTGGCAGCCGCCGTGGGCCTGGCTCGGGGAGCGGCTCGGGGGGCGCCGCGCGCGAGGAGTGCGTACCCCGTGGAGGGAAGGAGACGACGATAATGCAAAGACCGTGGCGGGAACCCCACCTCCGCCGTTGCAGCGACGCTGGCACTGAAGGAGGACGATGAGGAGAATGAGGAGGACGAGTTGGAAGGAGGGGGAGGGTGGACCAAAGCTAAAAAACAGAGTCAAAACACACACTCCAAAATTCTAGGAGATGCTGAGGAAATCGCCCCCAGGCGATTTCTGGACAATGTCTGCACACTCCTCCTGCAGGGGGACACGCCCGACTTCAGGCTCCGAGGAGGAGGCGCGCGGCGCTGCGGATTCAAGACGGAGACCCAACACACAGGAGGGCTGGGAAGGATCCAAAAGTACACCAACATAGACAACAAAATGGCCCCCAGACTATATTTGGATATTCCTCCTGTAGGGGCACACGCCCGACTCAGGGCTCCGAGGAGGACACGCGCGGCGCTGCGGATTCAAGACGGGGACCCAACATACACAGGATGGTTGGGATATATAAAAAATGCAAAAATAGACATCAAAATGGCCCCCAGACTAGTTTTGAATACTCCTCCTGTAGAGGGACGTGCCCGACTTATCGGGGATCTTCCGACCCGGGTCACTCCAGACCTGGGTCAGAGTCAGCAGGAAACCAAAAAACTGCAATGCAGGAAAACAAAAAACAAAAAAACGCAAAGCAGGTCTTCGCAGACCTGGGTCGGCCACAAGATGCGCGGCCGCCTCGCGGCCACGAGCGGCTCGCGAACCCAGGTCGGCCAGAGGGGGTCTCCGCAGGATCCGGCAGGATCCAATGCCCTGGCTGACCCCCGCTCGCACAGACCCCCGACGTCGTGATTTTTTGTCAAAACGTCGACCCCCAGAGGTCTGGACCCTTTCGCCGGGACCGGTTTTGCATTCCGAGTCGTTTTTTGACTGTCTCGAGGCCCAGTAAGGGCCCCCAGGGGCCGAAAATCTTGAAAAACCTCCCGTCGTGATTTTTCATTACTCGAGGGGGTCTGACGAGGGGGCACAATCGCCTCTCAAGCCCCGAACCTGACCGCAGCTGGGCCTCCCGGCGTCGCCCGGCGCCCGGGGGCGCCGCGTGCACTGACGGGAGCCGCCCCACGGCGGG